AATTTATTTGGCATATATCTTTTGTCATTTCAAATCTTCTTTGAAAATGCTACACTTTTTCGTAACTACACATTCTGTTGAAGTTATCATTTCAGTTCATACAAACACACAGAACCCATGTTCTTTGTACTTAAACATGGAATTGTGAAGTTGGAACTAAAACTTATATTCATAAGCAGTAGTTCATACAAATGTAGAGAACCACAGTGTGCCCAAACATTTAATTCTAGAAGACAATTCTTGTTGAAGGCAATGTAAATGTTTCGTAGAAATTATCATTACGACTGGATATATACGATTCACTGAGTTGGTAAACTTTCCTTAAGGTGACAAAACAGAGCACCAGAACTTTACAAAAAACACTTAGGGCCACAAATAGGTTACCAAGTTTTTTTCGCCAAAGCCACGAAATATTTTTGATAAAAATTAGCCTATCCAATGACTCTAGCATTCTAAAAAGTGTGAACCTAAAGACTCACCATATGAATCAAAAGTTACAAAATCCATGGTACAAAAATATTTAACAAAAAATGTACTGATAACAAGTCCATGTTTAAACTTATTGTCGCCTAAAACAACTCAAATATTATCATAAATGACATCTATCAGCATTCAGTCTACAATTTCTGAGCCAAGCACATGCTCTTGGTGCTCATAACACTGAGTACTTCACATCAAAGATGATACGCATTCAACGTTCTTTCTACTTCCTTTATACGGCTTTTATCATAAAAGAGGGTTTTGGAGGTGACTCTATGCATTCACAAAGACTTATCTTTTAGCGCGCTCTGTAATTTTTCTATATTTCTCATCAATTTGTCTATTTATTGTAATTTGGATCTATTATTGAGGGAACAGTTGTTTGTTGAATAACTGAGCGGTAATATTTGTTTAGGTAATAATCAACATTTGTATTTTTGATAAAATTTATAACCGTTATTTCCCAATCATCTTGTTCTGATTTCAAAGAGGTAATAGTGAGTGTCTAAACTACCCAAACAGTTATTCTTCGGCCAAACCATAGTTTGTATCTTACAGATGTCCAGGGAGATAATCACCATGGATTCACTTAAAATCTTTATTGGTCCAATGATATGAAAGCAATCAAATATCAGCGATGATTTTAGAAACTATTCTTCCTGTTCGACCGCTCATAGCCCTTACTGAGATGGCGGTCCTTAACCTGGTTCGGTTTAGCATAAACTTGTTATTGAAACGATACAAAAGATCCGTTTTCATAAACCTCGTCGTGTTTAAACTCATTGGGAAGCTCAAGACTATGAGGATATGACTAGTATTCTAACTTTACAATTAGCTACCAGTAGCACCTTCTATAGTCGAAACCCTTTTGGCCAAATAGAAATCAGAAGTCAGACGAGAAGAGGTAGGAAAGATATATTTGATACGTTACCAATATATCGAGAGGCGTTCGTTATTAACTGACTATTGAAACGTAGAAGCTGTGTCTCGCGCCGAGTTGCAACGTGATCTGGTACGGGTGCATGACTGAAAGCCTTCAGCTAAACAAGTCCACTTAAACAACGTGGTCAGCATCCAATGTCGAACACTTAATGAGCTATTGATTTTGAGGAATTATTTACATCTACAACTACATGAGAACGTGGAAGCTCTTAGCTATTTACTAACTATTTTGCTCTTAAAATGTGTATGGCCACATACCAAGATAACTGTTTGGTGGTTACCGATCTCCGAAAATAAATAGCTGAGAGTATTTGACGATTACATTGACGAAATGAGTTTTATTGAACACGCCACTAAGCAAAGGCACTTGGTCTGACTTTCCCACATATTCCAACTCCTCGTCAATCACATCTCATCAGATTACTGGTCAACTTTGAACTTACCTTAAATTCTCGTTGAACCTCGACGTTTTCATGAATTATCCTGAGTCCATACTAACAGAAAAAGGTTGGTCACTAGGTTTGTCATATCCTGCTACTTCCAGAACCCAGTTAACCGATTCTAATACAGGCACTGAAATGACACATTTTAAGCCCACTTTATAATATCTGTCGTCCGTGTCACTTCCTTTGCACCCCACTAATGCAGTAGTCCAAATATCGAGGCATACGATCATAAGGAACATACGGACAACCCCAATGCAACCTTCCAACCGAATAGAAGTTGATAACGCAACCTCCATAAACTCACGAATAATACCGGCCCATAACACGGTACACTTCACCGATAAATGACTGGTTTGATCTGAGGTAATTTTAGATCTCGACAGAAAAATGACACCTTGTATCGCACCACCACGAGCTGACTTACGTATACAAATAATCTTGGATATGAATTTCCTTCTCCTCTTCAGGCTCCACATGCAAACAAAACCGACATTGCTCTGAGGAAGCATGAACTAACACTTGGTTAATAAGTGTACATATCTTACTGCGATGGTCTTTCCTTCAAGGTTTATTATCAGCATTTGCGGAATACTCTAACAATGTTTTTTCCAATTAGGCTACCTTTCCCATACCTGATATTTTCACGTATTTTATTTTCAGACTGCAAGAGTATATATTTCAAAAGTTCTACAAATGACAATTCAGAAAACTGACGTGTATATTTTATCCGTTTATAATAGCTCTTATATTGCTCATAAATTTGGGACAGATTCTATCTATTATCACTAGTCTATTTGTATTCTTCATGGCGGTTACGGTATGAGCTAAAACATCAATGGTTACTAGCCAGTAGCAAAAGTTCCGTGAAACCTGGCTAGAAGAATGATATGTTATCCAAGATGAGGTGCTTTCATCTTAAGTCAACACTTGTGTTAAAAGAACTGTTCCACACTGCAACAACAGAGTTTGATATGAATTCTAGTGATACATGACCTAACCTTTGCCACCATGAATATTCTACCAAGTTGGAATAAGTCTTGTCTTCACTCAGAGATTACTGCCGGAGTTTTCGGTCACTGAACGTCTTTGTGAAGCATGGCAGAACTACCGCCACTTTCTACACAATCTTAAACTAGTATAACCAGTTTGATGTGCTTTCTTTCAAGTCACATATCACAAGACCCGCCTCCATAGTCAGTTTGTGACTATTTATGTCTGCATATATTTTTATCGTTTTACAAACTGATGTCAGTTTGTCGATTTTTGCAACTACAAATCAACTTTTAGTTTGTAAGCATCAGATCGAAGTAACTTTAACCACTGTCAGTCATACGCAGGGTTTAGCATGTTTATTGACTGAATTTAACACAGAACCACCTGCTTAATGTCTTCGCAAACCAAGGAAAAATAAAGATTTAGTACATCTGCGACACTACCACCAATTTTGGGCTACGCCGTAGAATATCGTAGTCGCACTGGACCCAACCGAAGTCCCCACATGGGTCACTTTGACAGGCAACTTGTAAAGCCAGTTTACCCTAACCGTCTTTTGACTTACAGAAAGAACATCAAATAAAAAGACTAATATTTGAACGAAGAATATTCTTTTCGATAAATTCTCTTCAGGTTCTACAATTATATATCCAAATTAATAATCCGAAAAACGGCCAGGTTAAAGGCAAAGTACATCGTTTAATGCATGTAAATTTAGGATTGTCAAATCAAATAGAATAAAATTGTTAATATTGATATGACTCATATAGAATGTTAACTTGAATCTGTATATACGTAAAGTGAAGATCTGTGATCAGAATATAAATATGGGTCAGATAGGGTGAGAGAGATATATGATAGTGCAATTACAATTCGATCAAGTGGAAGACTAAACGTGTGAAAAATTAGTGAGACGTAATAAGGAGGGATCAATGCGATGTGAATGAATCATGTTTAGGGGGATTAATAATGATATTTAACCAATAATAATAATAAAATACAAAGATTTGTGAATAAAGATAAGAGACAATTACATTTGACTACGAAAAGTCGTAAGTGCATAGTCAAATTAGGTCATACAATGGCTAAGATGATTGTTCATTAATTGGCCTTGTGGTTGGCCAAGGGAGGAGTAGGGGTTGGAGATATTTCTTCTGTACACATAGCTCCGGTTTCTTCATTCTGATGGCTACTGCCTCCGCCGTTTGAAGGACTTTAAGCCTGACAAGCTTAGGCAAAAAGTTACTGACCCTATAAATAATTGAAAAAGATTCGTTTATACTGGCACTATGACCGGTTTGTACTAAATGGGCCAAAATCGAGCTGTTTACTTTCCTCATCAGACCTTTGCTTAGCCACGCTGGGAGGTGTTCACGAGCACGAAAATGTAAATTCCTAGAACTTCGACCAATATAACTTGCTCCACAGGAGCAGTCGAACTGATAAATACAAAATGAAGTGGTCATTCTAGGAACTTCATCTTTAATCCTCGGTGTCACCACTGGACGCGTAGAAAACACCAAACGTAGTTCACCTGCGTTGAAAGATTTTTGGATAGATCTGCGTAATCTCTGAGCAAGTATTTCGCTAGCGGCATCCCCTCTGAATTGTAGGCACATGAACAGGGACTTTTTCTTGACCGTTTGGAATTCGCCTATTTTTACTTTCAAGATCATATATTTAATTATAAATTTTCTGGGATACCCGTTCTCCCTTAGAGCATTATGCAATGTGTTTAGCTCATTGTCAACTACATCCGCCGAACATATAGTGCGTATTCGATAGCTAAGGGTTTTGACTAGGTTTCGTTTGTACTGTAGAGGTACAAAGCTAAGGAAGTGTGTATACTGTCCAGTCCACGTACTTTTTCTGTTCATGTTTCTTCCTAACGATCTATCTGATCTCTTAGTTAAGAGGACGTGCAAAAAGGCTACTCTACTATCACTCTCCTCCTCTGATGTAAACTGGACGGCTGAATGCACTTCGTTAAACTGCCTAAGCACATCTTGTTGTGAAATATTATCTAAATTTACATGCATTAAACGATGTACTTTGCCTTTAACCTGGCCAATTTTCGGATTATTAATTTGGATATATAATTGTAGAACCTGAAGAGAATTTATCAAAAAGAATATTCTTCGTTCAAATATTAGTCTTTTAATATGATTGGGATTTTTAAACATCAAATAAGTTATCATAGATCAATTAATTGAAAAGCATTTCACAGTAGCTAGTAAAATAAAATTTCAAAATCGTAATTTACAGAATGGTAATGTTTCTCAACTATAATACTGATCTTGTTAAATTTTTAAGCAAAGATGTACATGAAGCGAAGATAATATTCTACTCTGAAAATAGAGACCAAAGTAACCCGATTTCAAAGTCAACTGAAAGATGTAATAAAATGATCACACCGAAACATTATCACAGACCAGGGAATGCATAATCCAGAAACTTCAATGCAACTTCGTAACCGAGAAAGCATGCCTATAAAGGTAGAAATCGTAACAAATTGGAATAGAATAACTAAGAGCCTGTAGAACAGAATAAGTAAAACAAAATATAAAAATTATAGGTGTTTGTATTTGTAAACTGTTTTTTCAAAAACAAGATTGGGCTAGCAGTGGAGTCTAGGACGCGTGTTTTGTTTCAAGTCGAAATAGCCAGTTGCATGTTGAATTGTGAAAATACAATAATAAAAACGCCTTGGGAAGAACTGTTCAGGAATAAATCTGAGGCATATACGTACCTTTAAATCGTACTTACACATCATATTTATTGATCAGTTTCCCTATCAACTAGACTATTGTCGTGCTTATGCAAAATGACACAACAAATGATTGGTGTTAATTGTAGAGCTATGAACAATCGATATGGATTAGCATTATTTTGACTAGTCACGAGAAAATATTACGATACAAAATAGCGACTAGTCGAGAGCAACAATATTTATGCATTTGTGCGGTGCATATATATGGTGCCCCCTTGTACCAATATTTATGCATTCAGATAAATATAATAAATTTGTATACTTGGAAACTTCTTTTATCTTGGTTTTTTGATGACACTGGTGTAAGTAAAACAAAATCCACACACTCTCTAGATACGAATAAAACCGATGATCTTTGGGAAGTATATGATGTAAATTCTTTCATGGATTTCCCCTTTGATAGAACCGATTTTCAACTAGTGATAAACAGCTAATAGATGAAGTTCCAATTAATATTCTTGTCTGTTTACATTTTAATGGTAGGAGAGATGATATATAAGAAACCAAACGACACCAAATAATTAATAATTTTAAAGATAAAATATAAACCACTGATAAAAAAAGACATAACGTTCCAGTTAAAAGTAGAATCAAAGCTTACAGCGTTCGCAGGAAATGCTCGAAGCATAACCGGGGTCATGCCCCGATACAATCCCAAAAATCCTTCTTTTGCAATAAGCTCAGAGAATACCGATCGAATTCCATTGGGATAAACACCTTCAGAAGCTACATTTAAGAAACATAAGAAAGTAAGTTCAGAAAAATCGATTATGGAATCATTTCACTAGAGCTTTAACTAAAAGAAACCATTACGCCATCTAAGCTCTAATACATAAAAACATTAAAGTGTGGTACTTTTATGAAATACTGAACATATCGAGATAATCAAACGTGAGCATTTTCTGTCTAATATAAACAAGAATAAATCAGAAAAAAACCATAAGTACTGAGAGTTAATCATATGAATAGATTTGTAGGCCGTGAGATAACTTATAACAACACTGAACATTTTTTTCTGCAACGAACAAGAATTATGCCTAACAGTCAATTATTAATATCAGTGACATGTGAGTGACCTATCTTGATATCCGCTAAATGTCATTTATTAATGTTTATCTTGCGTTAATACTTCGTTTCATTACAAATGATGGCTTCCTGGAAACTTAAGATAATTTTGACGCAAACAATTTATTTGGAGTCTTGTATCACTGAATCAGATACATGTCCGTCAGTCAGTTAGCTACAACGTAGAACCAGGAATATATATATATATATATATATATGCTGGCAGAATTGACATAGGGTGCCTACGTCGAAGGCTCCAAGGTGTAGTTTGCAGCGAGGTTTCAGTAGACCTGGGACAGTGTTTTGCACACTAGAATCGTTGGCTATGGTGACACTTGAAGAGGAAGTTTAGTGTTGAAAGTCGAGGTAGGAGGAATAATAGGAATTGAAGACTGACTATGAACACAATGATCTTGAGTGCTGTTAGAGGTATGAGGGCGGGTACCACTTCCAGGTTACCCAGACCGTGAAAAGGCTATTTTATAGGTACCCCAAAAGGAAATTAGGTTAGAAGTGATCTTGATGACTGAGAGCGTGACTACAGTGCCCAAGGGACAACTGCCTGAAGTCAGTTACACACGACCTTATTGCGAGTAATTATTCATAACAACAGTAGTTTTCACGTTAGCTCCGTACCGGTTGAAACCTTACAGCCCGACACGCATATTCGAAAGATAAAGCGAGGTGTATATCATTAGGGTCGACCCTTTCTAACCCCATCCCTCCTTGTGGGAAGGCAGCATGGCTGTTGTGCTGGCTGTCCGGAGGAAACACCTTACTGCCGTCACACCTCTGTACAGTCAGCAGTACGACTTCGCCTTCGACCCTTGGGTTTGCTGCTTTTAGTCTTACCGCTCTTCAACCGACCTGTGTGGTATGGTAGGACCTTGAGGAATGATTTTTCCAGCCAGTATAGCTCGACTGGTTCATTACGATAGGCAAGCCCGACCACCACGTCAAGATAGCAGCAACTGTCAGGATTCAGTTACATGATGAGCTACTAGTGGTTGTGCTAGAGATGAAGTAGATAAATTTATCCAGTTGCCTATATTTATGATTTAATGTCATATTATCATTTAATACGATTACGGCTGCAAGCAGCTGAAAGTAATCTACTAAATAAAATGAACCCATATTATCCTTTATCCAAGTTAATCAAAAGACATAACTTTATAAAAATATTAAATAAAGGATTTTAAACTACATCTAACAAAAACTACTCCAACTTATTTAGATAGGGAGAGATGGCTTAGTGATCAAGACGTTCGACTTTTGGCCACTAAGTTCCAGGTTCAAACCCTAATTCAGCTTGGGTAACTAACTGAGTGGGTTTATTAGGTCTCACACCCAGTGTACTTCACCAAGTACCTAGTGAATGTACCAACTTTAATGCGTCAAATTCCAGAACTTATTTCAATAAAATTACAAAGAATCTAATTAAAAAATTTAAAACCAATCAAGGACACGTGTTCAATTATGTTAGAACTGGTAAAGTAAACATAACAGATATTTAGTAAAACAGCTTTATGATAATTCCTATTAACTTCTTCAAAGTAAATACGTCCTCATAAAGCACCTAGTTGTTAACAACCCAAGTCATATGCTTAAACAATTAAAAAATCCGTTTGTTTATTTGAAAACAGTTAGTTTCACATTATCATTATTATACCGTACGACTAAAATTGTTAAAAACACATTTAAACATCAAGAATCAACTGGGTTTAGCATATACAATTGAAATGACAACCTATAAACATACGGATCTAAACAATTTACGCCTGCATCATAAATATGTTCATGGTCATAACTCTTATTCACATTTGAAAAATATTAAATCTAATAACTGTTATATAAATAACAATAATATTATTTAACTACGAGGAATGTATTAGATATTTCAGTGTTGGTCATAAGAGAACAATGACTACAAACAGATTAACATCTAAAATCATGTGAAATATAAATAAGATGATCAGTAGATTACATTAAAAATCATGTTTACAGGTCTAGAAAACCGAACGAAATTTACTAATTAAGAAATCACCTACTGTAATCTTGTACAATAATTTGAATTTGTAAATTCCAAAACAAAACGTACCACTCTGTAGACGAGATTTTAAAACATCAGGAGGAATAGCTATTAACCAGTTGAAGATACCTGCCATACCACCGGCAAAGAGAGTTTTACCAACACTCAATTCATTATTCCTGATAAATAATAGATAGAAAAGGAAACTAACTTTTGATTAAGATGTAATAAGAATAATCAAAACGATTTACAGAAAAAAACTTACATCTGCTCCAATGAGACTCATGTTGAACGCACTTTTAGCCCTTAACCCCTAACTTGTATTACCCACAAGACCTTATTAAAAAAAACCCACTTCTCTCAGATCGAATCAAATAAACAATGACTTTATGAAGTGCTGGGGACAACACTGATTTTTTGATGAGCAATCAAATATACCACACGTATCATGAGTAGCCTAAATTGGAGAAATCCAAACAAGACTTCGTCAATGCTGTGGACAGTGGGTATCCGTGGTAAACACCACTTGTTGACTATCAGATGACGAAGCAATTTTAGAATGAACACCATATAGGATTGTTAAGATAAATGCACCCAGAGGAAAATATTTCATTGATATGACAAGCAAGATTTAATCCTCATAATCAGGTGTTAATTTCATTGGTGAGTGATTAAATTTATAATTCATTTCTTTCAGTAGCTCATTTGCTATATAACATATTCACTATTGCATCAAACACAACTGATGTTTGCATCCACAGAACATGAATAATTGGGGTATTTACCAAACAATCCCAGATTAAAGCTTGTGACAAATACTCAGACAAAAGATATCTCTAATCACAAGCCGGAATTGGGTTTGTATAATCTTTCTGATGATGGTGTAACCATGATCAAATGATTGAAATAGACTGCCACGCTTGTGATACTGAGTAAAGGTGTATTCAACAGTTGTCATTAGGTTACCAAAGATGTCTTTATTACGGCAGTTTATCAAACAGAAATAATTCGCGATGTGGGTTCATCATTAGTAACTCTTGATATAATGGGTGAACTCTGATTTGTAGATAAATATTTGTTAGATCTAGTTTAGGGTTATCGATAACTAGTGATGGTTGAATTCTAGTGTCACATTTAATCCAGTAGAGAAATCTGCAATAATCTAGAGCTTGTCGTTATGCATCTTCATGAAGACTCTAGAAGTTGCCCAGGAACAGACACAAAATGACGTTAAAATACTTGGGTTTTTAGGTCCATCTCTAAGTCCAGATTGCAACTAGTTTGAGGACATGGACCTACCCTTACAATCTGAGGTATCGATTCTGTTAGTGACCCGTTAAGTATCTGAGATTTATATTGACAGCTCTTATTGCCCCCTAACCACGGGAACATCCAGCAAATAATTGTACCCCGCGTTGTCAACCTTTTTCACCTTATATTTTAATATTTACTACTCAGTGTTTTTGATGCACCTGCACAATTTTATTTATTCATCTAAACACATAAATATTGGTACAAGGAAGCACCAGATAAATATGCGCCTCACAAATCTCATTTGATTTGTGTGAGGGCTGTGATACTGCCCAGACTGAAGCAGGTGGTTTTCTTAGGGGGCCACGCCTCGAGCCTTTGACCTGAAGGTCTAGTCCACAAGGCAGTGGAGCGTCGTAAGGAGATGCAGTCCCATGGTAGCCGGTGATCAATGATTGATTCGTTCGCCATTTGTTCCCTCAGGATACTGGAGCCCATGTGCACCATTGGTTTGGAATCAGGGTTTTCCAACTCCCCTAGGTGGACTCGCCTTGTCTACCAACCCGGTTAAAGCGCCGGACATTCGCTTTTCGTCCTCTCAATTTCGTAAACAACACCCCCGCCACGAGAAGTCAGTGAGTAGGACTTCCCTGGCAGAGGTTATATATTCGCTGGCCATGTGAGAGTATTTCGAGAGGGAGAGCGGACTCTCCTCACTCTCGGCCGTACCAGGGCATTTGGGGGCTCTAAACTTACACAATACTAGTTACATATCTTTTCGAGAAAGAAATAATCAGCGGAACTGGTCAAAACAGTACCAAAACGGTAATTGAAAATTTAAAGACACTCTCTGAATTTGAATCTCTCCCAACACACTATTCGATAGTCTCACTAGTTATTGCAGTAGATGCATGCCCATTAAAAGAGGGTGAAGTTATCTGTCACAATTTTTACGCATAAACAGCATTTACTTTTGAGAAGAATGATATCTATTTTCAGTATATTTTACTTGAATATTATTATCTTGATTCCAGTTTTAATAGGATGATTTTTCGCGGCACACTTTGGGACCCATCGTGATGAAATGCTCTCATATGGCCACGCGAATATATAGCCTCTGCCAGGGAAGTCCTACTCACTGACTTCTCGTGGCGGGGGTGTTGTTTACGAAAGTGAGAGGACGAAAAGCGAATGTCCGGCGCTATAACCGGATTGGTGGACACGGAGGGTCCACCTAGGGGAGTTGGAAAACCCTGATTCCAAACCAATGGTGCACATGGGCTCCAGTATCCTGATGGAACGAATGGCGGAAGAACCTGTCATTGGTCAACGGCTACCATGGGACTGCATCTCCTCACGATGCTCCACTGCCTTGTGGATCAGACCTTTAGGTCAAAGGCTCGGGGTGTGGTCCCCTAAGAAAACCACCTGCTTCGGTTTGGGCACCCGGGCAGTATCACAGCCCACACACAAATGAATGAAATGATGAACTCTGTTGACGATTCTATTCCTGCTCATATTATAAGCAAGACAATTTACATTATTATTATTATTGTTATTATTACTTACCATATCGCTAATTCACCCCCTTTTATCCCCAATTTGTGTAACCTTACTCTTCAACTTATGCAGCAGCTCGCTCTTGGTGGAAAATCTGTCCTATCTAAACGATCTCCAGTCACTGTCTGGTTGAAAGTGAATGCTTCCACCGATTATGAATACTGAGGCAGTCTTTCTGAAACCACGTACGCCGTTCAAGCTGGCTTCCTTCAACGTTCGCACACTAATGCAGATCCGACAACAGATAGGGCTGGTTATGTCTTTGGAAGGTCTTAATGTTGACGTTTGTTGTCTATCCGAGACCCGTATTCAAGACTCTAGTGAAGTACTACAAATCCGTTCTCCATCTGTCGCCTCGAAAAGCTTGTTCCACGTGCGCTTATCCGGGGACCCTGTGGCATCTTCGTCTGGTCTTGCTGGCGTTGCACTAAGCGCTAGGGCTGAGGCAGCACTAATCGATTGGATCCCCATTAACAGTCGGTTATGTGCTGTTAGATTAGAAAGTTCCATCAAAGTGAGAAGAAACCGGCGTGAGAAACGGTGTCTTTTCGTCATCTCCGCCTATGCTCCGACAGATTGCAGCCCGGATGCAATCAAGGATGAGTTTTACCATCAGTTAACAGTTCTTCTCCAGAAAGCGCGTTCGACAGATATTGTAGTACTAGCCGGAGACTTGAATGCACAGGTCGGGCGTCTAGGCACAGAAGAGAGTCGTCTAGGTGGCCGATGGGGACTTGTTGGTCGCCGGACAGATAACGAAAACCGTTTGCTGCAACTGTGCACAGACCACAACCTGTTTCTGGCCAGCAGCTCTGATGGATGTAAGTAATGGCGGTGTGGATATGTTGCCTGGAGAACGACTTCTCGACCTTGAGTATGCGGATGATATTGTCTTACTGTGCGATAATGCCCAAGGCATGCAATCAGCACTTAATCAGTTGGCAATCAGTGTCCGCAGGTACGGCATGTGCTTTGCACCCTCCAAGTGCAAAGTACTTCTACAAGACTGGCAGGATTCTAATCCTGTACTCACCCTGGATGGTGAGCAGATCGAAGTAGTTGAGAAGTTCGTGTATCTAGGTAGCTATATAAGTGCTGGTGGTGGCGTGAGTGATGAGATTGATGCACGTTTAATGAAAGCCAGAGCGGCTTATGCCAATCTGGACCATCTTTGGCGCCTTCGTGATGTTAGTCTGGCTGTAAAAAGTCGGATTTACAACTCGCCGGTGAGAGCAGTTTTGCTCTATGCTTGTGAAACCTGGCCTCTCCGAGTTGAGGATGTTAGACGTCTCTCTGTGTTCGATCATCGTTGTCTCCGAAGGATTGCTGACATCCAGTGGCAACACCATGTTAGTAATGCAGAGGTTCGGCATCGTGTGTTCGGGCACAGAGACGATAATTCAATTGGTGTCACCATCTTGAAACACCGACTTCGGTGGCTTGGACATGTTTTACGAATGTCGTCCCAGAGACTTCCACGTCGTGCATTATTTGCCGACCCTGGGACTGGTTGGAGAAAGCGGAGAGGAGGTCAGTGTATGACATGGTGTCGTAGCATGAAAGAGAGCTGCAAAGGGCTAGCTTTTGTTGGTCCTTCACGACTCCTTGGTTGGGGTCCGAGAGATGGTGCAACACAGTGGCTAGAGACGTTATCAGATATGGCTCAGAATAGAAGCCAGTGGCGATCCTGCTGCAACCTTCTTTTACTTTCTACATAAAGTATGGTTCTTACTTTCCTATTTGAAAGTGTCTTCTGGTTGTACATTTTAGTCCGCCTTATCTTTTCATCCCTTCTCTTCCTACTTTCATTATTTTGTGTGGCGCATATGTACCTGGTGCCCTTTTGTACCAATATATATGTGTTTAAATAAATAAATAAATAAAACATCGTGATGAAAATCTTTTGCGTTATACACAAGAGTGAAATAAGAGTGAAAAAACGTCATACTAAGTTGCAACACAGTAATTAGAACTTTACTTCATCAACTATGTTCATGTTCAGTAAAAAGTTAGTAACACAATCATATGAACACACTGATACTCAGTTGAACATATCAAGGATATATTTTTACATCAAAAATCACATCCGATATGAACTAATAAAGTCTAATAATTCTAATCTACATCAAAAGCACTTACTTTGAGTGTGGATTCCTTAATGCATTTTTCATTACCTCGTAACTCAGAAAATACACTCCGGATGCAGGGACATCTAATATAAGTATAAAATGAATAATTAGTTTAGTTAGTCAGAATGATTATTAAAGTAGATATGATCAAGCAACCTGTAGATATGTCTTGTACGGTTATATGGGAAGTAACTGACTGATGTTAATCTGATATACTTATTTTAACCAAATATCAACTCCACTAAGAAAGTAAACATGAGAAAGGCTAATGTAAAAAATATCACGTTTGATCCATTGCTGATATTCAAAATACATTAATGTAACATTCATGAGGGTAAAAATGAATAGCGTGTTACTTATTTACGAGTCCCAGCCCCTAATGTTTTACATACATTTGTAAGAAGTTGAAAATTTTTAGTTTCTTAAAAAAACGTATATTAATCTAAAAAATGGTACAATATGTCTGAACTAATCTATAAAGTTCATTTAATAAAAACCTGCATAAATATAAACGTTTTTGATTTTGCTGAATAAAAAATTCACGCAAAGGTAAACAACCTTGTAAACTTTTACAGTAAATTAATTATTACAAGGAAACCAATGAAAAATTTATGATTAGTTTTTGTCAAATATAAGAGATTTAAACGATGATCGATTACTGATAGGTGACCAACGTCAATATTTGTTTAAGTCATCAATAATAAATAACTTATTGAACAGGTTGCAATATGCTTTATCATAAATGGAACTACAAATCACATAGACAACAAGGAATATAACTTCGGAGGAACAAGTAACAAATAGAAGTGCTTTAAACAATTAGAATAATCGAAACATAAAGACTGACTGAAAACCAAGTGATTTCAGTATAGAGTTGCACGGTTTGGTAAATTCATTAAATCTTATTAGGTTAACTAGAGAGGTTTAATACACAATAGGAGGGTTCAGAACTTGTTATTTTTAACATTTTAATATATGCTCTCCTTAATATGGAAAATATTAAAACCAAAAGTGTGTTATGATTCCCAAGACTGGCCACTGCCGATGTGATATTTACGGTCACTAGACATAACTTATGACAGCATGCTTTCTATACTCTAAGGAAATTTTAACCCTGATTTTATTCGAAGACTATATGAATGTACAGTTAAGTAATTATACCTCGCAGAAGTGTTGCAGCTGTTCCCTTGAAAATGCTTCGAATCCCACCTTCGCGATACAACTGACGAAGAACATCGACCGGTCCGCTATACTTCAAAGGTCCAATTGCATTTGACTGAACCTAGAAATTATTCAAAATAATATGAAATAAATCCCTAGAATTAAATTTTTGAGTAGGCGAATGGTCAAAAAGATACGGTAATTTAAAATCTACTGAGATAAAGTAATCATTAAGAGAACTAGTAAATACACAGCTACAGGTTTTAAGTATTTGGATAATTAACTACCTCGGAACAGAAAAAAGGGGCTACATTCGCAAACTAGAGATCTAACACTTAGCAGACGAGCAATAAATGAAATTACGGGTCTATATAATTTATTCGCTTAACCGAACTATGGTTTTTTTGGCTAAAAGATACTCAAGTGTAAGAATATGTAACCAAGTATATAGTATATTCAAAAGTGACTAAAACACTGAACAAACTATTATTGGGTAATTGTTGATTTTAGTAACCAAACTTATTTGGTCGTGCATTTAGACTGCAAAACAGGCAATCTTTAAGAGTGGGTGAAACGCAAAGGTAAACGTTTACAAGGGATTTGTGATTTATGGGTTATTATCAGTGTAAAGCTAGGTGATACGCATCGTAATACGTATTTCACAACCTCAGAACTAGAAGGACATTTTCTTAGCTTCCATCCTTTTTTACAAACCCTAATTGATAGGCAACAAAAGGCTGTGGAGTTAGTTAAATCCTAACATTTTACAAACCATCATTTTCAAAATTGAAAGATGCAACTAGGAATGTGGAGCTACATGGTTCTGTATGCAAGGAACCTTTCGAAAATGAAACGAGCTCTCCTAACATAATTTACGTAATATCCCAAATGTGTCACCCGAAAATCATTTGAACATGATAGTCAACCAGGACCCTATTTCATATGGTAATTTATTCAACTACTTTTAAGGGTGAAAAAATCAACACAAACGTGGCTTCATTATCTATGTGAAATTATATTTAATATAAGTGACGACGTGCACAGGATGCTGTGACGTCCTAAATAAACACAAAAAACTAGGATAACGCATTTATACCGAAGTCTTACTTGCAATAGGCATTTTATACGCTCTCCTGGAGCCAAGATTGCGGTTGAAAAAATGCCAGAAAACATTCCCGCAAGCAAAATTTCATGTTTCCTACAATAATGTGATCGCAAGAAAAATTGCATGTACCTTAAATTCATTGGATCCTTGGCGAAAAGCTGCTTACCTAAATTGTATCCGAAAAAGCAAATGGCGAATACAGGGGCCACCCCAGCTATGGGTGCCCCCATCCCCTTATAAAGTCCAAAGATGCCATCAGCCGCCACAGTTTTCTTGACACAATCAAAAGTCCCATAATACATAGGCGTTGCTCCTGATGTAACGTGAGGCATTGTTTGAAGTCGAACCTAAGAAAACAACTTGATAATTTACAGGCAGAATAGCATCTAAAAGGTTTCTACTGATTATCAACCCCTATACGAAAAACTACATATTAAATTGGTTTGTTTGAAAGAACTTTATGACTGATTATGCTAATATATTTCGCCGGAATTAGAAAATCGCCACAAAACAGGCGGTGTAAAGTTAGCAAAATACAGGAAACAATGTGAAACCAAATAGCAAACAGAACACCGTCAGCTGGACAGAATACTGAGGTTACGCGAACTGGTCAGTTTACAATGATTTACAGACATTTGAATATTTTAACACGTAAATTTTAGATGTTTAAGAGGTGGATTTCGGACGGTCTAGGCATGAGGAAACAATGTTTGGTGTTAAAGCCTCTGAAATAATGAATCACCTTGTAGCTTATGATCTAGATTTCGTAGTACAATCTCGTAAAGAACACAACTGGAACGACTAAAAAATATATTCATATTGTAAGCTCCTTTTTTAGAATTATACTAAACACAAGATTTCCTTTCGTATGCACATCCTAAATATACTGGTATTTTAAAAATACCCTCTTTTACACTGAGATGAGTAAATCTAATAGACTGTAAAGCGATAGTGAGAATGAACCAAACACAACTGTGGTCCTACTATGATTCAGAAGTGTCAAAATCAATGAACACTACCTAGGAATGCCTTATATAAAAATATACTACCACAGGCCATCGGAACTGAAAATAATATTTATCTGAGTATTGAGCATGTACTCAGTACTGATAAGACATATGATTAATGAGAAGTATAGTTGATAAAGCAGATACAGAAACAAAATCACGAAAAGCACAAGCTGCAAAAAATACGTCTGCCGTAATGAGGTGGAAATAAATATTTGATAATCTGAGTATTAAATATACTTTTCAAATAATACCTATCCCTTTAACTGACTACTAAATAAAGAATAATGGAACTGGTACAACTATTTTACGAGCCATACATCCGTTTTTAGAAAGAGAAAAATGCTATATCTATCATAATTTTATGTGACATGAAGACAACAAAATTAATGTTTGTCAAATTACATTTAGTAAAGCGAACCTTTATAGTATCGAAAGGGTGACCGATTACAATGCAACATGCTCCACCGAACCCACCAGCTAAAAAGCTTTTAATCGGGCTAATAACCTGGACACCAGATTCAGACATCAGTTAACGTGACTAGACTGGAATTTAGACCTCATGTTTAAGGTCAAGTATGTTGTATCCGGGCGAATCAAACAAATGGTGTAATCCTCAATATTTGTCTAACCAGTATGATAATAGTAATCTTTGTTCCTAGATAGAGATCAGTAATGTAGTATTGATTTTCTGCATACTGAGTTAGTTTTACTTACGAAATAGCCATTGAATATAATCCCGAATTACCATTGGTTTTCAGATTCCATTTCAAGTATCACTAAGTGTATCAGACTCTTGGATGATAAATTTGATAATGACACTAGTGGAGGCGACGCTGATTATTAGTTCTTTTCCTTTTAAAAACACCTTCAGAAACTCTCCTTCACATCCAGCCAGGCGATTCAATATGCTAAGGCCTCACATTACGACATTCGTAACTCCTTGTCTTTAGCGAAACAAACATATTCTAGATCTTCTCTCTATATGAATTACTTTACTGTAAGTTTTCTAGACTCTGGAATAATTTACCCCAAACTATCCGTATGTTAGACTCTCTCCCATTGTTTGTTCGCTCAATTAATGCTTTTTGCTCCTCTGAAAATGCATTAAATGCTCTAGCGCCTGCAAGTGTATCTTACTCCACAAGTGAGATTATAGGAACTTAAATGTTTAACCTCTTACTTGCTATCATTGTTTTGGTGTTCCGTGCTCTTTGCTTTAATCTTACTTTCTCTAGTTGTAGATAATTAATAATAACTCGCTCTGGCACTGGTAATAACCTTACAGAACAATGTTGATCAATCATCAGGCTATCCACTTAATAAAAAAATGACAAGTTCCCTGGTGTTGTATTGGCTTGCCGTGACATATGCCATATTTAAACTATTTATCAATTACTAAACCAGCAAATATAAAACTTTCTTATATTTCATGTTTGTTCTCTACATTAAATGTTGAGTTTTATAACAATCTGATCATGCCTGTAAACTGGTGTGAATTCTGTAAATGTTATTTTCAGAATATATTATTATTATTATCACTGAAAACACGTCGAATGCAGTCGCCGTACTTTGTCTGAGCTCTGAAGGCTGACAAGTGCACTAGTACAAACCAATGCCTTGATCATGGGTTAGTGATATCGGCCAAAGGAACTTGACCCATTATTAGCTCTCTTATTTGCTTAAAATCTCATCGATCGACTTCTAACTTTATTATATTACTAGTCTGTAGGTTGATGCTCACGTGTATTATCTTATTGTTTGGATAGTCAGCTCACTAGTTCTATCAATACTAATAACTGACCGACTCTAGTCATGACCAGTTATTACGGTTCATTAATAAGTTTAAGTGACATTTACATGCTTCAGTAGAATAAGTTTGTTAAAGCATCAACCACTAGTAAATACGGAGTTTACTCAACGTAAACACATAGGCTGGTAATCAATGTAAACAAACACTAAATGGTCATCTGGATCTAATCCTTCATCTTTTTCCTTCACTAATTATTTTGCTTCGTTTTAAACCGTGGAACGCCCCTTAAGATCATCGTTTGATAACTGCCTTCCTAATTTCCAAGTATCGAGTTCCATGGACAAACAACGAAAACAATAATCTCAAAACTAACGGTGAGCTTAGACAATCCTAAGCTTGTTTCAGATTGTTCATGTGGCAAGTGCCGTGTCCTTATCTGAACTCTTTCTGAATTTATACTAAATCAACAGCAACCTCTTTCTAAAAGACCATATTATCCTCATCATCTTACTGACTGCAGTTCCCCAACCCATGCCACAAATTTTTAATTTTGTTTCCAAGCATTTTCAATTTTCTTATTCTACGATAACTCACTCGTTAACCTAGCTTACATATGCCTTATATTATATTATCTTAGTACCACTTGAGTTTGACTGAAATTTTAATCGCCCTTAACATGTACCACTAGACCCGCCAGGTCTTCATGGAAGTATGTATTTAGGTTTGAGTTCGGTCATGACATCGTTAGTCTAGCAAGACGTTTCGCGTCGTTAAGACCACGGGTACTAAGATATCGTACTGCACTGGCAGAAATATATTACTGCATATTATGTTATAATGTAAAAACTCAAATATAGTATTTTTTGTAATCCAAGTACTTAAAATAGAATCTCTAGAGTCCACCTTTACTGTTGGCACAAAGTCAAAAAATACTTCTACGTCATAGTTTGTAATATAACATGGCAACACGCATTTCTTAATGTTACACTAACCAATTTAAATTTCTGACACTTCCGAGTGCCTAAACGTTAACGTATTTTGAACTGTCTAAAGTATTAGGCATCTTAAACGACATCTACTTTGTATTACTAATACCTTATCAACACTATGACTAGTTATTCATAACAGTTTTTGGATATCATCATAAAGCGATATCACGACATGGCAACCACATTATATGAGTGATAAATTTGATAAAAGTATTAATGCGAACAGTCGATAAGTTGACTGACAATCTTCAATAAGTAGTATTGTTTTCTCGTGATTATCTTTATCTAACCTAGGCCATTTTCGTAGATTTTCCTATCAGTTGCTCATTTAATAAACATCTTGGAACCTTGCCAGCCTAATCACGGCAAAGTCAGTCGTGCAAATCACCAGTGTGAACGTTCGACTATGTCTCCTGGAAACTGTTGGAATTATCTCAACACTGAAAAATGTCCGTGCCATTATCGCAGACATTAGTTGGAACCCATACTTCCCTCATAATCACACAAGCAATACTCACTATTTGTTATCTTGTAGGGAATTTTTGGCTGAAAAAGTAGTTCAACACCATGATACCTATAATTTCGACTCATAAATACTATCGATTTCAACAATCTATAGTCACTCAAACTAAAATAAATTGACTTCTATCTTATGTAGAACTTGACTCTTCAGACTGGCATGTATACCTTGCCAACCTGCAGGTGAAATCGTGAATAATTGGTTTATTACACGTTTGAATATCAAGTTTAGAGCATGTCCTTCGCGTGTGTATTCATATTCGCATAATTAGCATTATTGTCAGACACTGACAACAGCAATGGAATCGAAACTTATCACGATTAAGCAAGTCGAGAAAATCTCCCCAAAGCTTGTAGTGTTCCTAAGTTGAGCAGTTGACCGCTGGTTACCGTTATACGTTTTGACGTAATTTGTTAAAGTATCTTAATCGTAAATCGTTCTGCATTATCGTAGCTTCAATTTGTCCAAATTCTCAAATATTTTGTGCACAAATGTTCATTTTACAACAACTGAGAATAAAACCAAACACTTTAAAATTACGAAATATTTCCCGGTCACTAGTTGCTACCATACTTTTAATTTTCCTTCTACCTTGTTAATACCCGAAGGATTCTTATTATTCCGCTAGTAACCTCTGGAGCATGATAACCCCATTCGGTTTTGTATCAGGCCGGCGTCACGTTGAATTTAATGGGAAATTAGCACAGTGGTATCGGTCCTTAATCACACGATCTTTGGATCCAAAAATACCATAACTGGAAAGGCCTACATTAAACACTGAGGATAAGGAGAAAGTCAAATGTGGTGAACGCGATAGGATGGAACTTTAACGGCATGTTTTGGTCATTAAGGTTTGACCATTTTATTTAACCTCATACATGACATTAAATATCTTACTTTATCCTCTTCCTTCAAATTCAACGGCTACAGCTGCTGACTGTCACGATAGAACGAGTCAGTGTGAACTTGTGGATAACCGCATTTCCGAAGAAACTAAGGATGGTTTTTTCATTTCACTTATGTGCCAATATGCTGCTTGTGAATAATAATACTAATAATAATGATGGGAATCCCACATAAGGTCTGGTAGACTAAGTAATGGCGTCATCGCTGGTCAACAATTTTGATTGAGGGTTTTCATTCCATCAACATCGACCTGAACATCGATCCTACATTAGTGAACATGGCTGAAGGATTACAACATGACAAGTGCACTAATACTGACCTACGAACTAATCTTATATACTAACAATTGTCTCAACTTAACTATTTTCATATTTTACGATACGAACGTTGATCCCAGAAACATCGGCGACTTTTAATAGCTTCGTGGGACAATATACTACCATGATGTGTGTCGTTCTCGAGCGAGGTATTCTAAATACCTCATTAATTTAACACTGCTTAGTTATTCTAGTTTCTACTAACATACATGCAAAAATGGTATGCACTAAGACAACCAAAACAACTTTCTTATAAAAAGACTGCCTCATATTTATCTTGTTCTACGCTTTATAATTATCACTAAAGTCTTAAATTTTAAATCCTGTTGTGCTGTTTGATTTTTGTTTTCCATAGACTTCAACTTCGCCAGCATACGCTTCCATGCTACATTATTGTCACGTCGTTTCAACCAGCAACCCATATGAACCGCCTCTATCATTTTCAACTAGATCTGCCACATTCTATCTCTATATGTATTAGTATTTGTGACTTCGGCTACCAAACTAGCTACCTAAAGAAAGTCTCAAATAAGTTAAAACGAAATACAGTAACAAGATTATTTTTCATAATATTATTGTGATGCGTCAACGCGACAGCTTAACTACATCCTCCCTGTAAGCCATATAAATTGCTCAAAATAGAAATTCGACAGCAAATATATCAGTACCAAAATAATGATAGAGTTATTGCAAAATGTATAAGGGCAGTTCATAATATACACAAAGTAATTGGATCGATTATATGAAACTATGAAAAATGCAGATAATAACAAAAATTACTTGTAAAATATGTTCATGTTAACTATCTCCACATATCTTATATGAAAGGCTACACTTCTAGGCTTCCTTTTGTAGCTATAGAATAAAATTTCTTATGCTTACTTTGGAGAACGAACTAAATCTTTAAAGTAAGCTACTTTGTTATTATAAGAATTACATTAAATTAGTTCGCAGGAAACAACAAACGAAGTATTATGTTAATTAAAAGTATTCCATGTGATTCGCTAACTAAGAATTCTCGAAATAACGCAACTTAAGGCAGGTGGAACTAGACAAGAACAGCTAAATGCATTATATTTGGAATTTGTAATCAACATGCAATTAAGTACAAAGGAATCATCACTCAGTACAAATAATACAGATATGTATTATATAACACTATCGATCAAAGAATATACCATATTATTCTACCCATTTGAAATAAAATTAAATTCTGTACAGGTCCAGTTAAACATTTGTTAAGAA